CAGATGCTTGAAAATTCAGATAATTTCATGAAAAATATTGAACAATGACAGGCATTTGTGATTCTTGAAAAGTTTCCTTTGAGATATTTTCAAAACTGCAACAATGCGTGTTTCTGATGATGGAACTTTCAAGATATTTCGTTGAAACGATTAATTTGTCTTTAAAAAATCTACTTTAATGCTTTATTTTATAATACAGTAATACGAATCATTGGATTGCAATCATACTCTGTTACAGTATAGTTATGAACATGTTACAGTAAAACTTTTCCTTATGCAATATCAAGTCCGAAATCACACACGAAAGCAATCTTTGTTCCAAAAAAGAAAAGCAAAAATGCATGCATCAACTTGTAAAGTAAAAAAAAAAAGAAACTATAAGAAGGTCTAACAAAGACGAATGGTACCGATTTCCGATATGACAAAAATCTCTGTATGTTCTCTTCTATTCTGGGTCCGACGTCATTAAATCCTCCTTTTATCTCCTCCCCGCGTCAACGACACGACACACGAAAGCTCTTGTCACTGGATACAAAAGTTATCATACTTCTGGGTCCTCGTATCGATGAAATACCGTTTTCTCCTTCTTCTTTTCACATACAGTCATACTTTTTTTTCCGGGGGGAATGAAAGGATCAAAGGAAAAGAAAAGAAAAAAAATGAAACCTGACCGTTTGTACGTGAAAAGTACGCGTCCAATACCAATGCTGTATCGTTTTCTGGAGGCGATTAACGAGGCTATTCCCAACTTTACCCTCGTTTCATGGAGCAGGAAATTCTCTGCGATTCGTCGTCCTATTTCGGACTAAGATGCGCAGATTGTACGGCAAAATATAGTTTTATTTTTATTGCTCAAAAGTTTTGCGCACGGGTCATGATTAAGCCAGCGTGACTATTTCCATCTTCTTTTTTTTCCGCGTGGAACGGGGATAAACTCCGCATATCAGATGGCTTAGTTTACTTGATCAAAGAAAAAGAAAGGGGAAGAAAGAAGAAAAGTGGATCATGCTTGTTTCCCAGAAGGAATTTAGGCTGAGCTCATGTTCTCATCAGGAAATTTTTTTTAATAGAATTGGATATTTATGAATCAGGGCGCCTCAGACGTCAAGACGATTCTGGGAATCGTCCCAGTTTTCTCTTGAATTTGGGATTGGGTTTGTTGAATGCCAACCCAGAAAGGGCCAGTAATTTAGGTATCAAAGTACAGTACAGTATTATGGAAATAATTCCTCGGTTTTTTAACCATGTCAAGGTTCAACACTTTTTTTTTTGCAAAGAAGATTCCTCGGTTTAAAGTACTAAAAGATGAAATAAAATGTTTCTGGGGTTTCTCTTATCGTTTCCGTGGAAAATTCTACCAGTGAACTTTAAGCATGATCAATGGAAGAAAATTAAAAAAGTTGTTTATGTTTTCATCTTTCTTAGTTGTTGAACCCATCAAGAGATTCCAACAAAAGTTAGTACTGTACTGAGTTTTTTATAGTGATGCATAAATATCGCTTTAAAAGTCTGAAAACAGCACTCAGCTTTTTCTTGCTTGGATAGCTTTCAGAATAATCACGCATGTACAGGCAAATATGACTACTTTAATAGTATAATAATCACTAAGACTTTCCCACTCCTTCTTTTTAGAAAACATATAGAATTAAAAAGTCATGAAATTCAAGAATTTCAAGGAACGAAAAGCAACGCCCAACATCCTGATGGACTAAATATTTCCAGTATTCTGAAAATGGATGAAGAAACTCTTGATTGATGAGATTACGGCACAAATTCCCAACACTGATAAAGCTTACATTTTGCGCATTACAACCTCTGTGGGAAATTTGCACAATTTTGACTGGGGAAAGATACCCCTGGATTCATCAAGAATTTACAAAAAAATCGACATGGGTTGAGAACTCTAACAGTAACTAAAAAAAATTTCACTCATCATCCTGAAGTACAGATTGAAAAACGTTTTTTTTTATGTGGAAAAAATCTTTGAGCCTTAGAACATCATATGGGCTGTTCGATAATTTTTTGCAATCACAAATACTCCAGAACTATCAGAAATCACGTCCAACTGGGACAAACCTTTTATATCACAAATAGTATCCACTGCGCCAATACAGTTGACCCCCGCACATTGGACCTCCCACACAATGGATTTTTGCACAAAAGACTACCTCTGGAGATGGTTTTCCCTCCCACACAATGGATTTAATCCACATAACAAATTTCTGTTGGTTTAAAATTGATGCTAAACAGAAAAAAATTTAAATTCTAAAATAATTGAATCAGCATAATAACAGACTTTTCAGTTTTCACACAACAAACTGCAGTCTGTTGCAAAAATTAAGACCTTTGTATGCGGAATTAAATGTACTTTCCAGAGAAAGAGAGAGAGAGAGATAATGCAAAAAAGCACTGTTCCTAAAATCCCGAGAGAGAGAGAGATGATGCAAAAAATCAAGACGCTCCCTAAATTTTCCAAGTTTTTTTTTTCCCTGACGCAACCAATAATCTGACACTCAAATTATAACTGTGGTATTATACTCAGGCATATGTGAAACAGGTACAATACTGTATATAGAGGAGACTCACTTCTGCGGCAGACAGAGTAGTTGGTGGTGGTGCGGACGCGGCTTTTCATGCGACTGCTGTTGTATTTGGGTGAGCTGCAATAGACTTCGAGGTTGGCAGCGTCCGCGTCGCAAAGGTTGCCTGACAGGGGCTTATTGGCGTGGATTGAGCAGTAAGAATCGTGGTTGGACGACTGCTGGTGCATCGAATACTGTTGGCAAATCAGAGATATAGAAACATGATACTACTGTATAATGATCAAAAATTACAGAGTGAAACCAAACAATGTATTTACAAATGTGAGCCATGGAAACCCAACAATAACATTTACAAATCATATACTGTGCAGTAGATTGAAACCCAACAATAATGTTTACAAATCATATATATTGAACCACACTGTAAGTAACGATGATTTTTTGGGCCATGTATATACAGGTGAACCTTGATATAAGTGGAGCCTCCCTAAGTTGAAATCCTCCGTAAGTTAAATTTTTCTCAAGTCTCTGTCTGAATCCCCTTAGAAACAATACATTAAAAACCTCCCTAACTCAAATTTTTTCTCTAAAACCTTGGTAAGTCAAATTTTCTCAGGCCTTCTGGTTATTATTTCCTTGAAATATGAAAGAGAAAATGATTAAAACAAATAATTTGATGCATCTTGAAAGGAATTGAAAGACAAAAATAGCAAATCAACCCCTGCCTCCAAGTTCAAAAAGGGGTAAACTCATTAATGAGCTAAATTTGACTACACACAGAAAATTGAATGTAGACTGGTTTAAATGGAACATGCAGTTAATAGAACTTTATTTCTTCTAGTTTTAAATAGTCATCTGTCATATTTCAGCTGATTCAACTGTTTCAAGTAGCTGAGTCCTTCAAAAAAAATTATGTTTGAAAATCTCCCCTTCCCCAATGCTGGGTACCTAAATGCTTGCAAATTTACCGAAGTTTTTACGCACACTGTAGGTATATAGTCCTGATACTTCCGATTACAATTCAATTTAGCCAATGCAATATAGACGTATTTTGGGTATGAAAAATCTCCTTCCTCCTCCGCATGTTTGATGTACGCGTGGCATAGATAGTATAATAATTCAAGTTCGCATTCCGAAAAAAAAAAATCAACGCTGCCTCATCAAACATTCGAAAAAAAAGAAGACATAAAACATAAGAAATTATAGTAGAGAGTGAAAGAGGAGGCATCAGATGCTTGCATTTCAGTGACTTTTTAATTTGTATTAAAAAATATATTTTTGCATTTAAATTCCATCTGTTTAAGAGGTTAGTTGACTGATGAGTCATTTTTTGCTGGTCAAGAAAAAGTCTCCTGATCAAAATATACACCTTCAAATTTGCCGTTTTGAAAGCAAAACAAAAAGTTCAAAAATCATCAGAGCACACATTTGTACTTTTCAGTTATTTGTTCTTGCCACCCTCCGCGAGGGGTGAGTCCCTGCAAGAGTTGTCGCTCCCGCGAGGTTCAAGTGCGTTCTGAGGCTGGGGGGATCCTTATGGGGGAAGTGGTTCAATATTCGCAGTGAAGGGAATTTGGTTAGGGTGTAGTAACAAAATTTAGCAACAAAAAAAACAAGCAAACAAATTATGTTTATTCTTTATTATTCGAAAAAATTCAGGAATGTTTGGCGGCTGTGGTTATATAACCCCTAACGTAAACAAAAGATTGCCTGGCAATAACCCGGCAGACAAAAATTAAGTCAGCCTGGCTTATCTTTTAAGTTATTGTCCGGTTGACCACTTCATTCAGGTTTTAATTTATATTTTTTAATGAAACCTAACAAAGCAAAAAACTATTGAGGCAAACCCATGCAGCAGAAAATAAAATCACAGTCCCAGATATCACCGAACATTCAAGGATAGCTATTCATTTTATAATTTGTCAAAAATGGTGCACAATTGTTGGAAATAATGCACGTGATGTGAGCAGTTTAAGAGCCACAGTTGTTAACATCACATTTCTACACACACACATTTTAAATTCTTGGAAAATGAATTTATATGTAGGTTTATCAACCCGTATACATTTTGAAAAGCATCCGGAAGCATCAACCATATACTTGAGAACCCGCGTAAAATATCTTCGCTATATTGACGTCCTTTTCAGCAGTGTTTCGAAATAATTTTAATTTTCAAGTTACGAAGAAAATAAATTCGCGGCGATTCTCTCTTCAGTTGTTCTCTTTCATGGAGCGACTATAAAGGAACATGAAGAAGCTTTTTCCATGCCGATAAGGTTCCACTAAGGTTTGGAGCCCTTGTGGCGGGTCATGACCCAAACCAGCGGGTGATCCGACAGCCCTCAAGGTCTTCTCATCCTCATCCACCTCCAGCCCACCCGGGATCTTCATTTCCAACCAGAATTTCCTGGACGAGTATAACCAAGAAGTCTGACCGGCGAATGCTTCAGTTGCACTGGGAAGTTTCTCTCGTCCAGCATCGTAGTGATTCTTTAGGTCGAGCCTTTTTATATTAAAAAAAAAACACTAGGCACAAAAAGCCGCTGCAATTGTGCTTTAATCATGGTTGCCGATAAGCGAATGCTCGTGAGCCCTTTGCCCAAGCGAAAGCCTGGAGTAGCTGAAGACAAAACCCTGTGGGAATACATTCAGACTCGTGTGGCTGAAATCGTCGCCAAGCACGGGGACAAAACAATGATGGTGAATTTTCGGTGAAGTGACTTTCATTTGAGTTTTGTAGAAGGTTGCAAATTCTATAAACCATCAGACGAAAGGATATCAGTCACGCATTTTCTACGCAAAAAAAAAAAATCAGTATTCACGTAGGGAAACAATTCCTCCTCTGACTCAATTAAATATTAAGCTGCCTCTTCAAAGAGACAGTTGTTCTGAAGCCAAGATAATTTACACGATGAGAAACATTTCCAATGAAATGCCGCAATGGTCAGTCGGAAGTTATATGCATTTCATTTTAAAACCAAATTACTGCATTCAAGCATATATGGCCAATCATTACCGCATTTAATTGCCAACTAAGGGATGCATCCTTTGTGAACTCATTTCCTACAAAAATAAATCGTACGCGCATTTTTAAATTTTGATAGATTCAATGACATTTTCCGTTAACCTATCCAGATTGACGGAGCAACTCACGAGAAAATGAGCTTCACAGAATTCTTAATCCGGACAAAGAAGACTGCACAAGTTTTGAAAGAAAAATACGGTGTGACGAAGGGATCCACTGTCATTGTGTGCTCCAAAAATTCGCTGAATTTCTTCGTGCCAATCCAAGCAGCAGTTGCTCTAGGTGCTCTTGTCTTTGCCATTCCTGCCTACTCGTCCGGTGAGTCACGTTTTGCATCCATATGCAGGGTGGATTGAAAAAAAAGATGCCATGCTCCTTTTTTAACGATATTCAATTTCATGTTTTATTCTACTGGCATTGATGTGATCAGCACGCGCATCAGAAAAAATACCTAGACATGACATTTCCATCTGATTTCTTGTGAGCGTGTTGTTTTATTTGTGTGTGTGTGTGTGTGCATAAATATTTTCATTGTGACGTGTAGACTTCTTGTGAAGGGCTCACTATCAACCAGTGATTCGAAGTTGTTTATATTATTCAGTACAATTTTTTATGAGTATCTGAAAATGTTTGAAAATCGTCAAAGAATTTTTGAACGGAAACCATAATTCTTGCTTTCTTATTCCAGTTTAGATAGCGTTTTAATTGATTAGGAAAGAGCATCAATTATGCATCTGAAATGGTCGCGAACATAATTTATGAGGCTTCAGGAGCATGAGCAAACAAAATTTCAAACAAAAATTTGATGTGTTTTCTGCACCATGGCAATTACGACCCATTTCCAAAATTGCCCATAATTTCTCAGGCAATCCTGCAATTTTTCTCGGAGCAATCAAAAGGTCTTATACCTGTCTGGCTGTTCCAATGCGCAGAAATCCGCGCGTATCTGGGACACGTTTTTTTGGAAATACTCACCCGAAGAAAAATACAGTTTAAAAAAAGTTTTAGTTTTGACTGCTTTTTTAAGCGCGTGTTGATCATATCGGTGTATCTTGGACATAATTCGAAAGTTAAAATTTTTTTTCAAATGAACGGTTTTTATGCGATTGGTTGATCAGTTCGGGAAATTCTATAGAATAAATACAATCAGTTTGCAATGAATTGTGTGCATTTTACCGTGCTCTTTGTAACTCTTCTATTGTTGTCCGTGTGATACTTTAGTTGAGTATTCAAGTGAGAAAAAATAATTTTGATTGCCTCGTATGATGTGTTGGAAATTCTAAATTGATGTTACATAATAAGTCTTATATCCTTATTAAATCTCTGGCGCTACAGTACATAAACAGCAATTATACATAGTGCGTTATATCCTTTAGCTGTTCAACAGCATACTGTATACGGTAGAATCTCGTTACAATGCATGCCATTATACGAAGTCATTCTTCAGGTCCCTGCCCAATAGCCACAACGTTGATAGAGATGCTCGTACGTCATAACAAAATTTGCTTCGCAACAAATAAGAGCTTTTTTTGGGCCCCTGGCTTCGCTGCGACGAGATTTTACTGTTGGTTTGTTTGTTTGGTTTTTTGCCTCTAGACTGTGTCCCACGATGCTTGGACGAAGAGGAACATGTGCCAGTGATTGTCTGTGACGACGGACTCCTCGCCGAGATGGAGAAAAACATCGAAGACGCGAGTTCGAAGCGTCCGTCGTCGGAGAAACCCCGCACCAGGGTTATTTTACTGGAGGGCCAAAAAGCGGGTTATGAAACCATTCGGGAAATTATTGCATCCAACAATACTGGGGAAATCGGTTCGTCGAAGAAAAAATAATTATTGTACCCTTACTGTATATGATTTCAGTGGCACACGCACACCAGTTCAAAGGCACTTTTCAAAACCGATCTTTTGCATAACAGACTCGCAATTTTTTTTGTACTGTACTTCGCATCCTGCTTGGGCTAACAGACTGAAGGACGTGAGGATTCCTCATCAAATTGAATTTAATGTGCAAAATCTGGCTGCCAGTTTTAAAATTTTCAAGTACAGTATTTTGAAGCTTTTTTAATCACAATTTTCTTAATTTTGGTTTTTTCGAGTCATTTTGCAGTTCGCTCATGTTTCAGGAAGTGATTTTTTCAGTGTACCTAGCTGCATTTTTCCAGCACATCTTGAACCCCATTGGAAATTTTAACCCAAAAAAGGCTCGTCTTACTCATTTGAATCTAATCGAATTATACGGAAATATTTTAATCCGTGGCTTGAATTGTACGTTTTTTTCGAGATGAAACGAAAAAATTTCCCGAGTAGGTTTTAAGAGAATTCAACAGTGTATAGAAACGTAAAAGAACATAAAATCCACCTCGAGACAAGTAAAACAATCTTCAAAACAAGACTTGAAAAGCGTTTGTTTATCCTCTGTGAGGAAGAAGAGTATAATTATTATCTAGATTTAGATCAAAAGGATTATGTTCGGGTAAAAATCCAATTGATTGCTCCCTGGAACAGATTAGTCCCTTCTTAATGTAGGTTGATATTATTCGGTTAGTCGGCCTAATCCGCATATCCATAGGGAGTCTGTTATCTGAAATTCATGTTAGCCGAGGCACCACAGTAATGTAATGCAAAAAGAGTGGCTTTTATAAAATTTCTGGAGGTTCGTTATTGAGCAGAAAAGGGCTGAGACCTAGGTGTGCTTAGAACGAACCGCAAGTACAGTTCGCCTTCGTGACCAGGTGGCTTTGGGTAGTGAGTGAGGGTGATGTTACACAACAGAAACAGGATATTGTTGCTACCCACTCCATATTACACGAAATTTTATTTTCAACACTGAAAATCATGGAAAGAATGGATTATGACGCTTGAAGACAATTCTTTTAAATTCTGCTTGTAATCTCCGAACGGAAACGTTCATGATTGCCCGGTTTTTATGCGAACACTTAGCTTTCATAGGCATCAAGACCAAATTTCAATTTTCGATGGCGATTTGAAAAGAAAAACGAAAGCAGTTACATTCAGTTATGATTTTTTTTTATGTGTTAGTCCATATTGATAATACATCTTACCGATCTCCTCAAACCAAACGTGCATGGTGCGAAAATTGATGATGTTTCGTGGTTTTCTCAATCACCAGCACCGATATAATCTATCTTTTAGATACTCCAAGGCGTGGTCGGGGATTGACCTCCTCTCAAATAAATTCAGGGCTATAAAGAAAAGTAAATTGAGCTTTTAATTAGTAAAACATTCCAAGTACTGACTTCTGCTTCTTAGGCTGCAGGCGGATAAGGTGCACTTAGTGCCTGTGTAACCGCCTGAGAAGGAGAAGTACTCGTACTAAAGAAGGGGTGCAACAGCGATCTCGTTTACGAATTACAAGCAGGACATGATGTTGCCGACGATCCATAAATACAGGGTACAAAGCCTCATAATCTTTAATTTGTTATCTATAGTACTAAATCTGTATTGCTGTTTTGGGGTTTCTTTCGTACAGGTAAACTACATGGTTATGTACCCAAACGATGCCATGTATTTGGCAAAAGTGGACGACTGGTCCATGTACGACTTGTCTTGTGTGACGAAGTTCTG